GGAAAATGTAATGTTTTGTGACCTAAATAACAGTGCTGTTGCTTTTTTTTTTTTTTTTTGGGAAAAATTGGAGGATGGGTCATCTGCACGAAAATATAATGATGCACTTTGTGGCAGTTTAAATGAACTTCACCTGTATCCAGTGAACCTGGGGAAGCTAACAGCCGCCCTATGCTGACCCTGCTGGAAGGCAGGTTGGGACTTGGGGATGGACTTTCAGCTGGGGAGGGGCCCATCTCTGTCCTCTCCTGCACCTGAGCTCGCTTCCCCTTTTGCCCGCAGCAGGTCCGTACATCACCTGGCGAGCCGGCCTAAGAGTCAGGACGTTGAATGCTGGCATTCTGGCTGCTGGTCCACCCAGCGAAGCTGACGGTCCATCTCTGCCCAGCAGCCAGCAGTCCAAGATGTCTGGAAAGTCAGCCGCAGCCGTGCGTCAGCGGTAACGGGGTGCCCAGTCTGGGACAGACCCGCCAGACATGGCCAGAAATAAACAATGTATTCATAAAATATGGATTGTTTCAAGATGAAAGACTACTTGCCACCATTAACATGCCGCCAGAAATCTCGTGTTCGCCAACCTAACAATTATTTTTATTATCACTTATTTTTTCTGTCTGTTAAACTGATTGGATGATTTGTCCACTTGGATGTCATAAACATTTTAAAACGCCCCTCACAAGTCCTACAGTCCAACATGGACGGTCTTGCTGACATGACTAATAAAGCTAAAGTGTTTTATTTACTTGTTCTGCTGCTTTGGGAGCCGGAAGGTTGCGTCTGTGGGATGGAAGAACCTCTTCAGGAGCTGGGGGGGCTTTCGCTACTCCTCCATGCCATGGATTACAAGCCTCAAGCCACCTCCGCCTTTTTCTCATGTCTCAGTTCTTCCATTCAGCCCCCAGCGCTGCCTCAAAGCCTCCTGAGGCTGGGTGAAGCTCCCGCAGGCCAGCAGGGGAGCAGACCTCCCAGGCCAGGGTTGGCGTTCTCGCTGGCTTGCCGGACAGAAACTGGAGGTCCAAAGGATCGGGACGAGTCCATCCTCTCCAGCCTTCACGTAGTCGTGTTCCCAGCCAAGGCGGCGAAGGTGGCAGAGCTGGCGCTGGATGTTGAAGACGGATTGCAGAAGCTTGGGAGCGGTCTGTTAGTTCTTACGGGGATGTAGCTCTGCGAGCCGCTCCGCACCACCGCCTCCCACTGGGAAATTAAGAGCATGGGCAGCAGCCCGGCCGAAGGCTCGAATGATGTAGAGTCACTGTCCATTGGGAAAAGCACCGCGGCATCTGCCACTCATTGGCCAGGCGGCAATCTCCTGGTCGGCCTTCTCCATAGCACTGAGCCACCGGGACTCCAGCCGGGCCAGCGTCTGTTTGACGTCAGCCTAAACCAGCGTGGGTGGCAGGATATCTCTCCTTCGTGTCTCCCACCGGGCCGCTCGGAATGGGGCCCTCGGCAATTCCGACCTTGGCTCTGAGCGTCAGGGAGTTTCCAGCTCCTTTGGCGGTTGTAGTCGGCGCCTCCATCCAGCCACAGTGACGGTGTTCACCTCGCCAGTCTCTGAGGGCCCTTTGATGAACTTCTCAATGAGTTCTCAAAACGCAGCGACTAGGGGCCCGCGATTCCTGGTCCCAGACCTGTGCAATCAAAAACAACAATGGTACACCACATTACTACACTACTTTAGCCTAAGTGTAACAAGGGAATTAATCCCGGGAGGGAGGGGCGCTGGTATGTGGGCAGTGAGAGCACGCCTGTCCTGATCTGGCAACCTTGACTTGGGATGGAATCCTCCCATATCTGGAGCTAAGATAGTTTTACAACCAGGCAGAGTTAACTTCTGCATCCAGCTCAGGTTGGGTTGAACCAAGTCTTTTGGGGAGACTGCCTGAGGCCCCCTATTTGCATGTATGTTCTTCTTCAACTCCTGGAGGATTTTTAATGCATTCGGTCAGGGGAGGATGGGGCGAATCTGAGCTTGGGTCACTAAGTAAAGTTTAAGTTTTCCTTTTACTGAAATGTGTTCTCAGGGCTACAGTTGTAGGTCAGCTACCTTGCTGCACTGACAGGGAGAACTGGACTATAGTTGGAGGAAACCAAACACAGACACAGGGGGAGGAAAATATCAGTGCAGGATCCTGAATCTCGCTGGGTGGAGGCAACAGTTTTTTTGATGGGAGGCCAACCCACACTGCGTTAGGTTTGGCCACTATATGGAGAACAACATCACTCAAGGCACATTATGCATATATGTCCTTGGCAGCAACTGTGAACCTGTGCGCGTCCACCCATCGCGTTTGTGGGGGAGAACCGGCTCTTTGAAAGCCCTCGCTCGTCACCTTGACACTTAGTCGGAGCCAGCAGGACGTCACGTTAAAGCGGGGGAGGTTGAGCTGCTCTCATTGGCTCGGCTCTTGGGGTTGTGGAAACAGTCGGCGTTCCTCGGTCACATGGTATTAAGCAGTATAAAATGTGTTTGGCTGACAGCATTTGAGGGAGGAGAAACAGTCAACAACAGAATCTGGCATCCATATTCTGCATCAGCACTGTTTTGACAGTTTGATCTGAGTCTGTGGGGCATTTTTTTGTATTTTTGGGGCTTTTTCAGGTTTTTTGTGTACTTTTTATGTGTTTTAGTGTTTTCAGTGTATTTTTGTGGTGTTTTGCTGTTGTTTAGTGTATTTTTAGTCTCATTGAGCTGGACGGACTCCACTGATGGAGCTGTTCAATCACACATAGCCCCGCCCTAAAGCATTACTCTTTATGATCTTTACTCTAAATGGATTTTAAGAGTATTGGGTTGTTGGGACTGTGGGTCGACTTCATCATCCTCTGGCCTGCAGAACTTCTGGTGTTCTTGACTGTAAGTTAACAGGCATTTATCTTTTCCTACCCCTTAACATTGACCGTAACTGTCAAACGTTGATTTGCATGGGAGGCTTTGCTGCTTTTCCACTCATGTTAAATAAAGTTTTGTCATCCTTTCTTCGCCCTTTCTGTCAGGCGTCACAAAACTCCAATTAATGTTAATTTCACTCTGAAATTCATACACGTTACGTTGAGGCTCGCACCGGGACAGCAGCTGTAATGTAATTCATTATTTAAATACTTAAATTGATGTTATAAAAAGCAGCTCCACAGCTGTCAGAAAAGAGCCAAGCCAGGCACTTTGTTCCTACCTGAGTTGAAGTACAGCAGGTAAGATCAGGGTTGCGCCGGCGATTCACCAGCCGGCTCTTCCTGAACGAGCGTCCCGGTAGGATCGTCCGTGACTGTCGATCAAAGTGCCAGACCCTTGAACTGCCACATCCTGGAGTCTGATCCCGTGCTGGAGGAGTCGCAGCCTTGCTCGTATTACTGAGTCCTTGTTCTGTTCTGTTTCCTTAAGTTTCACTTTCCTGACATCAGAGTTCAGATCAGCAGACACAGAGAGTCAGAGAGTTATTGAGCTTAAAGCATTTTATAATCAATAAAAATACAAATAAAAAGGCTCTTAGAACTAAATAAATAATAATAATAAATAAAGAGAATTTATCAAAATTAATAATTATTAGTTATTAATTATTTTTAATTATTAATTTATTATTTAACCTATACAAATGAAAAGGCTCTTAGAACACGTTTGGATATAAATATTAATACCTAATAAAAATAAATAAAGAGAATTTATCAACATTATTAATTATTTTGTATTATTTATTTATTTATTATGTATTTTAATGTATGTAAAATGTCTAGCTCAATAAAATGTATTATTCATTTATTTTTATTCCCTAACTATGACAGTAAAGTATCATCAGACCCATCAAAAGACTTTTAATCGTTTTAATCTGGCTTTTAATTTGTAGCAATGTTATAGATTATAAATATTAATATTTCTTTTTACATTTTATTCATTCATTACGTCTGTTTGTCGGTAGTTTAGTTAAGAAACTATTAAAAAAATTGTATACATTTATAAATTATATAAAATAAACAGTATAACAGTGTCTGAACACAACACAAACCCTCAGTCTTTTTAAAGGTGTGCAGTCAGAAGTACTGGTGTGGACGAAGTGTTGGTGAGTACCGACTCATTTCAGTGTAATCATTAACCAACAGAACAAACCTGCTTTATGGGGACATTTTACATAATAGTCTCCTTATTAAGAGAATATTTACTGCCCGAAGGGAACCGGGTCAGGTTCCACCTCCTGTCCAAAGATATCAGACTGAGATTTAAATATAGAGCTCCAACATTACTCTCATAGTTTTGGGCATTGCCAAAACACATGAACACGAGGCAAACAGCCGTGGTTCCCAATGTTTCATTAATAAACTGACTCAGTGACATATTATTATTATATTAATATAAAATATATTTTATAGTTATTTCATATTATATTAAAACTGTCCAATGAACCCAAACAGTGAACTCAGTAACTGCAGGAACTTTGTGTAAAACCAGAGATTTGGATGAAATATGAGCAGATTCATTTCCTGTTTAGGGGCACTTTTTTATAAAATTCTCTGTATTATTTAATCATTTTGAACATTTCTAAGCTTATTGTTTGACAAATTCAGTGTTTTCTTGTCGCTTTTGTTCTATTAGACAATTTACATTTAGTGTTCCTCACAGAAGCAGGCGTGTTTCCAGATTGCATGAGTGTGGAGGTCAAATGGGGCACTGACCTATGCCCTGCAATAGGTCAGGTTGCCACTTGATTGGCAGGGGTGGGCTATGAAGTGCATGTTCTCAGCTCCAGTCACTCAGTGCACTGTCTGTGGACTCCAGTGTGCAGAAACACTCAAATTCACTAAAATATAACATTAATACAACACACAAACGACTGCATGTGGCATTAATGAGGTCAGTTATCTCCACTCTAGCTGTAAAACGGAGCCTCTGACAGAGATAAGATAAGAATAATGTGGAGGCCAGTCAGAAAACACTCTCACTGCACAGAAGTTTGACTTTGGAAAGTGAAACTTACAGGAGCTCTAGAGGGGGAATATGAAACAGCTTCATCACACAGCCAGCACACACATCACAGCCCTCTCTGAATCACTGTGTGTACAGATAAGGAATAAAAATGATAAAATAAGTCACAAATAAAGCCTAACGATTATCAAACATGTGGGATGTCAGCATTTTTAATAACTGATTTAAATTATTGGAGTAAAAAGATCAACATGAAGAGGAGCATTGTAAAAAAGAAAAGAATAGGTTAAATACAGTTTCTGTAACAGTAAACACATCATA